TGAGCAGCGTCTCTCATAGGACATCATAAATTATCCGAGTAATTGACGCTTTCAATGAGTTCAAATATTATAAATTGCTACTTAGCCGAACAATTGCTTTTAACTGTTCGACTTGTTGTTGCTGCCAACATGTCAATGCGGCAACTTAACTTGGCCATTAGTACGCGGTGTTGTAAACGTTAAGTTCGTTTGTATGACAACCTGTTTGATAAGATCACCGACTTAACGCGTTCCATTGTTATTCTGTGAGTTGTTTCTCTAACTACAAATGGAAGTAGATGTACCCGTGGTGTGGTTGTACTGCTGTGTGTGCAGAGTGAGGAAACTAGTGCAATGACACAAAACACCATCACTGCTTGCAGGTGATCATAAAGGTAGTGCTCATAATGGTAATGGTGTGATGATGGCTCAAATGATGCTGTATCAGTTTTCAGCAGAGTTTGTAGGTTTTGTTCTGATAATGGATCGTAGTAATTTGAATGCGTTGGTGTCGTTCAAAAGTAACTTGTTGATGTTAAATTTATTAATAACCAAATTGTTGTATATATTTTAAGTAGAGTTTTTATGTTTTTACTTTTATAAGTCAAGAAATGTAGCTTCTGCTTTCTACTGATGAATGATATAGCTACAGTTTAGTGTTTACGACTTCTCGTTTCAAACTGATTTGAATATTAATGCTTATAATCTTTGTTATAAATTCCGCTTTAGCAAATGAACAATATTATAGTATTATCATTATTGTGAGAGATAGATTATTAACTGAGGAATTTTCATTAAATACAGCTAAAACTAGATTTAACTCTATTTTTAGAAATTAAGAATATTTTTATAATAAAATAGAGTAATAACAATGAACTTAATTTACAAAAAATATTTTTCTTCTTTACTAAGAATGAATTAATTTTGTTTAAGGTATAGCAATTTAAAAAATTAATCTATTAATAAATTTATTAATTGATCACGAAGTAAATTGAAGTACCTATCTTAACTTACAACTTATTTATTTGAAAGAAATTTTTTCAATGTAAGAAAACTGTACCACAAACCCCAGCGCAGAAAAACTCCACCATATACCCGTAGCACTACAACTGTACTTTGACCTCGAGAGCAGAAGCTGAGCTGCTTCTCATAACCTCCACATCAACCTAAATGTAGTAATGTACAAATTGTACAGTTTTGACTGCAATAAGAGTTACTACAATGGACTCAGCTCTAGCCGCCATTTCAGTGTTGCGAAGCAGACCGAGAAGAAGCCATCAATCGTAATCAAAGTAAACCTAACGGCGGCAGAGGTTACTAAATCTGCAGTACTACAACCTATAGAATACTTCTGTTGCAATTTCATAAAAAACAATAGCAACAACATACAGTGGAAACAACAACAATGTTTTTATCTAAAAAGTTGTTAATATTTCATTTCGTTGTTGGCTAAGACGAAACCAAATGGAAATTTTTATCTTTTTGATTGTGCGCTACGTATCTGCCAATTATTGGGCATACATATATAACCCAACACCCGACTAGCAACAACAACATTCACAGCAACAACGTTGAATACCTAAATAGAATTAAAATGTGCTGCATTGGCAATGAAGTTTGCCTGTAAGCAATCTGAAAGCTGTTAACTGCGTTTTCCTCATTGATTTCGTGATGCACTTAAATGAAATGAAATCTGAGATTGGTGCAGTGGCAACCTCTATGAGCAACTCATCCAATAGCGACGGTAACGTTTGCCGCACCAAACTTAAACATTCGACTAACAACAATTTTATTATCGGACGTTTATCAATTGCAATATTAAGTTTCATAGCACGCCCTGCCCGCAAGACATGCCTTCACTACCTCACTTGTTGGAAACTTAGAAAGGATATTGTGAAGATAAGGCCAAAGATGATGGCAAACAATTAAAAATTGTTATACAACTTATGCAACAATCACTGATAATGTGAATATTCTTGCCACCGTCGATTACATGCAACAAAATCCAACATCTCTGGTTTTTGAGTCCATTCGACCATATTTTTATACCTGAAACACAAAAAAAAGTTTTTATTTGGTACGAAAGTCGTCACGTAAAAGGATGGAAGGATTTTCTTTAAGAAAACAACAATACTACTTACAATCATTGATATGTATTAACAATTGTTTAATATTTAACTGCATACTTAAGATTATTGCGACAACTAAGAAAAAATATATTAAATATACACCGCGTTTCCACAACAACTATTGTAACGCCAACAATAATCGGTATTGATTATATGGTAGGGGTTGTAGAATCGAAATTAAAAAACAAAGAAGAATATATTCCAGAGAAAATTTTGAGTTTGATATATCAAAGCAGAAAACAGATCAAGGCCAAGCATTAATCATACTGGATAGCTGGCTGTCGCGATTTGCGTTCCTTGACTTGGGTACCGTATTATCTACCATGACACGCCATGTATGAGTTCTACATGCTGAGTTCTATTCAAATTTAAAACCTTTAAAATGAAAATTTTTCAAACCTTTAATGGTTTTAATGGTTATACCCGAATATTTGAGGTCGGCTTGCCAACTTTAGTGTTAGAATAAGATCTTATATGGCGACAGATGTGTGAGCAGTTGTGTTTGATGTGAATACTCTAGTTTGGAACTGTGATTGTCCGGCAACCTTTGATTGATTCTCGTTATAGATGCGCAATTGATGCGAATTCTATTAATTGATTTCCTTATACTTCTGAGATAAATATAAATATAAAAATAAATTATTTTTTAAAACTCAAATATTTATTAAAATTTTATTCATTTGAATTAAGCCATTTTAAACTAGATTTTTAAATCTTTGAATATTGCTTATTACTTAAGCTGCTTAATCTTCATTAATAAACTTTATAATTCCCACCTCAATGGACATATTATAAGCCCAATTAAAGTATAAGCAACTTTCGATAAATTTTTCAAACCCAACAAATGTAATCTGATACGATTACCAATCTGATTCAGCAAAATGTAAAACGAAAGCCTTTTATCTAGTTTAACTTTTTCATTAGCTGAAATTTTTAATCGCTAATTTGATCGGACATAATCGATAATGTCAATGCGATTTCAATCCACGACA